TTTCAACCCTATGTGTTAGGGTCAATCCATGCACTAATAACGTGGGTCCCGCTGGCCATCTATTTTTGACTGAAGAAAATGGGAGGTAATGGAAGAAAATGGGGCTCAGATACAAGCTAAATCTTATCACATGAAATAAATGCTACAGAAACAAATAAAATATATTTTAGGGTACAATTGTAGTCGTGGTCCAAAATTTTTCAAATTTTTGCATTTTTTTTAGAGAAAATTACATCCACAACGAATTTTCAACTTTTTATTTGAACAATTAAGTGCAAGGTTTTTCGTTCAAAAATCAAGTGTACCTCCCCCGCCAGCTCGATTTCCACACCATAAAACCCAATTTATTTTCACACCAAGTCACATAAGTTGAGCTCCACAGATCCACGTTCTCGTCCTCCATGCCATCGATGATGACGATCACTGTGCAATGCGTGGTAGCACGGGTGCTTCACGATGACAATGCACCCTTGTGCATTGCACGGTGGCAACAAGAGCCGGCCATAGGGATTGCTACACGTGACCTGCTTTCTTCCTAATTTCGCTGATAAGGAAGAAGAGTTATGTGGCCTATGTGTTGGTATTGGTGTAGGTGGTGGCATGGTAGCGGAGCTAAATCTATGGCTTGGGTGTGTGTGTGTGTGGTTGGTTGGAGATAGAGTGGTGGTGGAGGTGAAGTTGCGATGGATTTAAGGAGGCAGTGGTGATGGTTTTTGGTTAAAGTGGTGGTGGCAACGACAACATTTTGGTTGGAGGTAAAGGTGGTGGAGTAGGATAAGTGGGATGGGGTGGAGTAGAGGAGATGAAAGGTAATTTGTGACTAATTAATTGAATAATTATGATCAATTAATTTAATAATTTGTGATTGATAATAAGTTGTGACTAATTAATTTGATAATGTAATCTATAAACAAGATGTGATTAATTAATTTGATAAATTGTGATCGAAAAATAATTTGTGATCAAATTTATTTGATAATTTATGAACGATAATAGGGTTGTGACCTAATTTTTTTTTGATTTGTGAATGCGAAACTCTATGTTTGTGGTTAGTATATAACTATGAAGTTCTATGTTTGTGGTTTGTATATAACTATGACCATAGTTTGTATGCTATTATAATTTTAACCTATTTAATTAGTAAAACTTATTTAATTATCTATTTAATTAATGCCACCTGATTTTTGAAAGAATTTTACAAGTTTGACAAATTTTGAAAAGTGTATCTTTAAATGTTGGTGGTTATGTACTTTTTCCCTTTTTTAATCTTTATCTTTCATTTGTTACACCCGTGTCTCAAAACCTTTTACCTATGTGTGGCCGAAGTAAATATGGATGATTTTCGTCCATATTTTATTCAGTTACCAAAAAAATTTACTTTGACCAATTTAAAAAGGCAAAATTGCAACTTTACATCTTCTTACATAAAAGCATTACATTCATGCTATAAGTAGAGACAATTTTGACCAAAAAATGTTTACAGATAACACTTGGCATGCATTTGTTGGAAGATAAAAAAAAAAAAAAAAAAAAAAAAAAAAAAATACAAATCACATTTCGCCACGCCAACTTAAGTAACAAATTTATCAAATTTTTTTTGTACTTGTGGCTTTTTTCAAATAATTATGTGTAATTATATTACCACTACAAAATTTGTTTATCATACCACAGTTTTAAATATTTCTTAAATAACACTTAGCTTCTGTTTTGGCTCCATTAAAATCAAATTTTGGGAAAAAAATGTATTTTGAAGTAGCGAGTGATGAGAATGTAAAATGCTATATTTTTTATTTATGTTGCAATTGGATTAATACGGTGGAATTTAAAAGAAACAACCGCAAAAGGACTAAAGATAAAGAAAACTAAAGTTTAGGGACCAAAGTGTAAATAGTTGAAAGATTAGCCAAAAGCATAAACGAGGATGTGAAAGAGTTAACAACAAATTTGTTGTAGACAAGAAATGAGAAAAGAGGTCAAGAGACGAGAAAATGGAGTTCGGGGCTAAAGTTCAAATGTGGAAGTCGAGTAGTGTTACATCTGACGCGGTAGCATACCAACCATCAGAGAATTGACGGGTTGATTTTCAGATGAACTATGCGTCTCTCTCTCTCTCGTAACTAATGAAGAAATGAATGGAAAGGCAAGACGTGAACACGGGATCTCTCATTACCTGTTCTCCCATGTCATTAGACAAATAGTACATTTTTGATATGGCTTTCCAGTTAGCATGATAAAAACCGTCATATCTGTGAATATACTGAACAATTTCCAATCTAACTGTGTATTATGGTTAGCAAGACCTCTGTGTTAAATATGGAAGACAACAGAAAATGAACATTTCAGTTATGGTTGGCCAGGGCTTGTATCTAACACTTTCAGACCTTATATTTATTGTAGCTTTATTTAAGCTCAATCTGATGAAACATGAAAAACAAGAAGAATTTATTTGAAACGGCAAGCTTCATCAAATTTAAATGACTATAATGGGATGAATAGAAGTATTCAGGTTTCTTTTTTTTGATATTTACAGTTAATTAAATTTCAAGCATAAAAACTCATTAATTTTCAGTAGTTTATTGTATTAATCTCCAGTTTTTTCCTCATTTAATATATCGTAACTTGGTTCAGTGATTTGAAAACAAATTCATTGTGACTTGGTCTAGTGTTTATGAACAATGCAACCGAGCTTAAGATACATAATACTAATCTCTCTTGTCAAAATAATATACTCGATTTTTTTTTTCCTTTTTCTTTTATATTTTTCCTCTGTCAAAATGTTTATCTGACTATTTTTTGTACTTCCAATTTCAACATTTTTGTATTTTCTTGAGAACCTACAAAAATTCAATAATATCCAATGCCATCGTCTTTCAATCTTAAAAGTTGTTATTCCATGTGTACCACCTTTTTGATTGATTTAGTCCTAGTGCTTGTTTCCACCGACATGTTTGTTTCCATACTATTTCTTTTTCATGCATATTATCTACAAATATAACTGTGTTCCCTTTTTAAATTTGTATTTATTTATTTATTTATTTATTTTTCCCTTGTTATGTTCATAGTTATTTCTGTACAAGTATGGGAGGCTGGTTTGCAAGCAGAGGGCTAGGATTATAGGCAAGCCTTTCACACCTACAAAAATCAAGGGGTGGCTTGCTTATCCAATTTTTTGAAAGACGTCATTCCATTTTCCTAGAGACGAAAAATGGGGAATTCGTAATGACACATATAAGACTGCATTTTGTATATTACTTCAGGATAGTTGTAGAGGATTGTGCTTTTTTTGTGGTTCTTATTCCGATGAATCTCTTTACGTTTAAAATCCTGTTACAGGACAAACTGTGAAATTGCCTTCTTGTTGTGAAATTGAAAATGAAAATCATCTCTTTACTCATCTTGTTTATATTCCTCAGAATAAGGAATATAAAGTCATACGTATGTATGGTGCCTTCGACGATCATATAGGAAGAGACATGGCTTGGAGGAAACTTGGTTCTGTGCCAAACTTGGGTTTTGAAGACAAATATATTTCTGCCTCTGTAGGAGAGGTGATTTATGTGGCCCAAAGCAAGAGAATCATTTTAGCAATTGACCTTTGGATGGAAACTACTTTCCACTTTATCAAATGGACTTTGATAAGGGAGAATGGACAGAAGTTTGTGAGATCGAACACCTATGTAAAAGGATAAAAATGCCGCGTCATGATATTTGGGCCATTGGTCGGTTAGACAACAGTCACTTTATCTTTAAAATGAAGAAGTCGGAACGCACAAAAAAAATGCCCTGTTGTGTGGCCTATAATGTGAAAACCGGAGAAGCATCCATTTTTGGTGGTAAAGACGGAATTGATGGCTTGATGCCCATATTTGTCGAATTCATACAAACTCTCTTGTTTCCTGGTATGCAGCTTTCTTTGACAGATTCAATCAATTTTTTATGAAGCTGAGATTATTATTTTTTTTTTGTTTACAATTGACTGTTTAAGCTCTATTGTTCCTTAACTTTTTAGAGTTTTCACTTATATAATGCTATTGAATTGAAAAGGATGATCGTTTTACTATGACAGGTGGTTATACACTGGATCATTTTCTTTATTTAGAAGTTCAAAAAAGGTGTATGTTGATCAGAAGTCAACTTGAGAAATTTTACTGTCGGAAGGTCAATTTTCACAATTAAAAATGCTCTCGCCACTTGGTTCTATATTAGGCTTGCTAGATTGAACTAGAACTAGAGCCTGTTTGATGTATATTTTTTGAGAACAGATTGTGAAAAGTGATTTTCTAGGAGAACGTGTGATTAAAAAGTAAGAAAAAGTCTCAGTCCAGGTGCAAAATTATTTATTTGGGAGTATGTGTAATTGAATTTGAGTTTGGAGAAAAATGAGTTTTAAAGAATCTTTATCAACAAGGCCTAGTATTTTATGTTACACTTTATCTGGAAGACAAATGAAATCGTAAAGCTGTTTCACATAACTCTCTTTGACATTCTTTTTTCTTCTGTTCCTTAGGAGAGGTGTGTTTCTGTCCTATCTGATCATTTGGAACCTTGCAGGTAATTCTTTCTGAAGATCCAAAAATGACAACACAGGAATGGAAAAGTAGAGAACAAGAATATCAGTGTTATTTGAGCCTAAATCCGGCCTTGGCAATTTAAAGTACACTCTAAGAATTTTTCTTAGGTATTCCTGTACCGTGCTCGTCTGTCTTCTTTCCATTTACCCCTTCCTTGCCATTTGGCATAGTACAAGATGTAAAATGGTTTGAGTCTCGAGTTAAGGATATTCTTTTTGTTTATCGAGATAAAAATTGTTTATCGAGAGAAAAAAAAAGCTAAAAAATTGTTTTTAAGCATGATAGCACATCTTATCTTATAATTTAAAAGATTAATCATCTTAAATCTAAAATAAGGGCTATTTTCTGAATACTTTTTAATTTTTGTTAACAAAAAGTATTATTTATTTTTAAATTTATGCATTTGTGCACTTAAGTGCTAACTTGTCAGATTATGAGCCCAACTTGTAGGGCACATGTTAAACAGATAATATGATATATTGCTAAAAATATACTACAATTAGAAAAATACTGAAAAAGATGAAATAGGAGAAAAATTAAGAAAAAAAATAAAAATAAAAAATCCCAATGTCTATCCTATTTTTGCATAAAAATTAAAACTATCTCCTAATCTGCCAGGATCATCCATCTCCGTGGTAGATTCAGCTACCATTTTCATTATGTTGGAAATCAACGATTCCTTCTTGCCGACTTCCGGTTGCTGGATATCAACGATTCCCCACAATTACCGTTCTAAACATGCGTTGGCCGATCAACATCCTCATTGCCATCAATCTACCAAAAAAAGAGTCACGCGCAAAAAAGTTAACGATGGTCATAAAAAGTTACATGCAGAAAATAAAAGTGACAAAAACGCGCAAAAAGTCACACCACCTCACAAAAATTCATGGAGGTCAAAAAAAATAAAAAATAAAAAAATAGGAAACTCGTTCAAAAGTTGTATTGAGAATGTTACACTACCTTCCTCTCCGATTCAACCCCACCAGTGTAAACTACCATCTGAAGATCAGAAGGCTTCGGAAAATTCCCTGTTTTTTGGTTTTTTATCTCACCCATCAAATCCGCGAATGTATTAGCAACAAAGCGCCTTAATCCTATCATTTCAAGCTTCAGTTCCACTTGGTCTGAAGCTAATTGATGCTGTTTTGATTGAATATCAGCCAAACGACTGATAATCTCTTCCTTTAAGTGGCAGCCACTCTAGAAACCAAAAGCACAGCAAAAACAAGACAAATATTAATAGTATAAAAAATGATATGAACTACAATAAGGAAATTAATGAAAAAACCAACCTCGTTCTCTTTGCACTCAGAAGCCTTGGCAGAACTGTTAGTATGAGTAGATAATTCCTTGGATGCACATGGTGAATCAGATGGCTTCGCTGCACGTACCTTCGGATCCTCAAAATCATAGTCCAGGACTCGCCGACCCTTATCAATCAAGCCAACCATGTATGCCTCCTCATCATCGGTTGGCTCAACAACATTAACTTCCAACTAGAAACACGACAAAATAAATGATAAAAAAATATAACAAGCACATGATAGAAAAATGATAATGTAATACAAATAAGTAGCGTGGTTATAAACTACTTACTCTCACAAGGTCAAAAACATCCTCGTTCAATTTGGATGATGTAACGCGCCCTTTGGACCTCCAATTCAATATCCGAGGATGCAACGCATTAACCTTGGTACAAAATTTTCCCTCTAAAGATGGGATTGTCTCATAAATCCACAATTGAAATGCAAGCGGAAAGCCATTAAGCCTATATGCCTCAGAAGCTTTCTTCCCACCCTTCAGTCAACGATTTGTTCCTCAATGCAGACTTGAGCGATGAAAGCGTAATCCTATAGAGTTCTTCCCCCCAAGCAAAAGTTTCCATCTCATCCGAATCAACAAGAGCCATAAGAGAATCATCAACCAATTTCTTGTAAGATGTTGTAAACAAGAATGATGTAATTAAGTATAGAACACCAATCTTTACAACATCCTTGTCACTGGCATCTTTCAGGTTAACAAAAACATCTTTAACTTTAGATCTTGTTATGTTTGGAACGTGTCTAAAATATGTATCCTTAATCCTACTCAGTCTTGACTGGTACTTCAGACAATCATCGTTCCCTGTGCATCTAAGTCCAGTTATTAAACAAAACTCATGTATTGAAAATCGCACACACTTCTCGCCAATCTTGAACCACGTCTCATCCAGATTCGGTTGCTTCACCTCCCTCAATAGTACTTGATGAATCAACTGAGGCTGCAATGAGATTTCCTTCATATCCACATACGGACCGAAGCATGTCTTCCTGAATAATGCTATCTGATCATTAGACATGTTTCCATACAAGTTTGAGATGACCATTTCAGTTGAAAACACATTAACTTTGCCTGCAAACCATTTATCGTGGTGTATGATATAGTCCCAATCCTGTACAACAAAAACAGAAAAATTTAGGAAAATTATATAAACAAGATTCTATTGTATTCCAAACTCTCAACAATAGAAACATTCCAACACTCAAATTTTATCCAAATGAAAGAACACTGTCACATAATTTTCAACATGCAATTTGATGCCTTGATGTATGTCAAATATGATATTAAGTAACAAAGACTTTTAGATAACTGTAGCTTTTAAAAAAATGACAACATTATACTTGTAATTCCCATAGTCATGTAACTCTTGGGTGGAGGCTTATGGACAACTATTATAATTTACATCAAAACTGAAGCAAAATTAGGCAAGGCCAATTCACTTATTTCACCTGCTACAACTTGCAGGTGTTAGCAAAAAAATCCAAAAGTAGTAGCCGCATGCATGCCAATTACCATAAACATTTAGCTTACCGTTTGACATTCAGTCCACTGCATGTATTAGATATGCGTCCAGAAAATTTCTTATCAATTCATTTTAACAAGTTTTCTATTTGTATTCTCTCATTTTTCCTGAAGAACTACCATAACTTCATTATAAATACTCAAATTATCCATAAATTAGTAACATAGTACGAATTTCAGTATTCTATAGTCCAATTATTCTTTAATATTAATCATCAACAGAATTACTGTGATACAATGGAAACAAATTCTAGAAACAATCGTAAAAAAAGATATGCCTTAAATTGACAATTTTCATAAAAAAAAAAAAAACCAAATGAACACCAAAAGACAATTTTATTTCAACATTTTCCAGGTTGAAAATTATATCAATCAAACATTATTAATTTACAATTCCCAATAAAACAATTTCTAAACAATTCAATTCCCTGAAATTCGTTCTCTTTCTATCCAAATTCCATCTTTGCATTCAAATGGACCCTTAAAGTTACTTATGACAAGCTTATACCATAAAGCATCAAAATTACAGAGACAACCATCAAGTTATGAATTACCTAGAGTAAAATGTTTCAATACTCTCCCAACTTATACTATAGTCATAGTTCACTCATCAAACTGCTTCACAATGGTCACTCATCTTTGAGACATTGCACCCCATTCATCATCCACTCCTCTCGTTGCTTATGTGTCGCACGAAACTTTCACTTAGGAAGTTACTGCCATTAAAAATAAATAAAACTCAACTAAACTATCAATGTAAAATGTTTCATTACTCACCCAATTTACACTATGGTCATGATTTACTCATCAAACAATTTCTCAATCCCTCATCTTTGAAACGTTGCACTCCATCCATCATCCGTTTCCCTCGTTGCTGGTGTGTCGCACAAAAACTCCATGTGACAAGTTACGATCTTTAAAAAAATTATAACCTAGCTAAACCATCCAACTCACCAAATCTCCACATGTGAAACACGACTTTCACGACTTCATGAACTTCTTTAAACCCCAATTGTTCGTACCCAATTTCAGCCCTAAAAAAATCTAGCCCCCAATTCACTCATCTCCCATGTATAGTTACATTGTGTACTGAGTGCGTTGATTGTTGAAAAAGACGCGAGAAGCTACTAATAAATACCTATCCCCGATTGTATAATTTACTTGGCATCTTTCTAATCCCACTCTTCTATTTTTGCAAGCGTGTGTTTGACCATTTGAGGAAGGAGTCATTGAACTTCGACAATTGGTATACGGATGAAATAGTGTTCTTGTTTGTTGATCTTTGTTCCTCAATTTGACCGAAATTTAATGACATTTCTCTCTCAAATGGTCCGATACACGCCTGCAAAAATAAAAGATAGGGATTAGAGAGACGTTGAACAGAGTGAATTGAGGGGCTAGGATTTTTTGGGGCTGAAATTGGAGACGAACGATCAGGATTTAAAAATGTTTTATGAGGCCATAGAAATCGCGTTTCAAATATGGAGATTTTGGTATGTTGGATGATTTTGCTAAGTCATAATTTTTTTAACTATGACTTACTACATGGGATTTTTGTGCCACAAGCAAGCAACAAAGGGAACGAATTAACGAAATCTACTAATGATAGATAAAGTGCAATGTCTCAAAGATGAGTGACCACTAGAAACTTTTTGGGGTTTGAAAAGTAAACTACGACCATATTATAAATATGGTGAGTAATGAAACATTTTACTTGAAGTGTTTGGCTAAGTTGTAATTTTTTTAATGATCGTAACTTGCCATGTGATATTTTTGTATGACATGTCAACAAGAGGAATGGAATCTGGTGAATGATGGATGAAGTGCAATGTCTCAAAGATAAGCAATCATTGAGAAGTCATTTGAAGTTTGATGAGTACATCATGGCTATAGTATAAGTTGGGTGAGTAATGAAATATTTTACTCAATTTCCGACAGCACAAATAATACGTAGCAATTCATTTATTTTGCGTGAAGCATAGTAAATGTTGACCACGGATTTATGATCAACAAATTTCCCTCACCTAAACTAGACTTTCTCCTCCTAATCTCTCTGTACCTAATGCTCAGTAAGGAGCAAGAGAAAAATGCTACTTGGGATGAAGATATTCAAATTTGCATGCCTCTCATTTTCTAGGTGAGCCATATTTATAGATTTCATTTTGGGGATTTTGAGGGTAATCGGGTCTTCTTCGTTAATGACAAGTGGCAATCATTCAATGATGATTTTCTAACTAATTCTGTTATATTTTCACGTTTGTTTAACCAATTTAGGTGTTCTTCATTAATTGGTTTTGAAGTCATGCTTTTAAACATTTAGCCACATGTGCCTTGGTAACTATTTTTGCCAATGTGGAATATTATATGAAAACTTATGAGAATTCAATTTAAATCTTTGATAAGGCAAGGATCTTGTGTTCAAATACTGGGAATACGATAGAAATCCGTGAGGGGCAAGATGGGTTAGACTCCTACAGTACATAAGTTAATGAATTAGGCAAGAGAGTCAAGTACTTCTTGACACGACCCGGATAGCATGCCCCAGCCGTTATATGATACCCCTGGTTGTGAGCTCTCGTGTTCCATAAATATTCGTTCTTTTTTCTTTTTCTTTTTATTTTTTATCTTCCTAGACTCCCGTATTTTCAGGTTTGCATAAAGAGAGATGAGCTCGCTTTATCATTCCTTCGTATTTATTTATTCATCAGTACATAAAGCCAACTTGAAGAAATGGAAATAAAGATTCACATATACGGGCTGTGCAATGTACACAGAATGAACATGTTCAACTAAATCCCAATATTTTTAATAAAAAAGTAGATGTTCAGTATAATCGCCACTCACCTTTGGTTGAAACAGCTGGTCTTCAAAATGATCATCGCCCACATTTGTTTTCTTCTTTGCTTTTGATATTCTTTGTACCTTGTCTCGCTTTCTCTTCATCTTCTTCTACTCCAGAACCCTAGTTTACGATTTAGACAGAGAATATCCACAAAATGTCAAAACAATGGCTTCGAGTGTGGATGGTGGACGGCACGAGAATGATTTCGGGATGTTTGCCGATCGTCGTGATTTCAGGCTATGGATTTTGGGGATTTTCGGAGTTTCACTGATATAATGGACGGTACGCCGATGTTGGCCGCGATTTTTTGCCAGTTCTCGAGATTTCTAACGATCATAGTGGCGATTTTAGGAGGGGGTTTTGAAGATTTCCCTGTTGTGATTTTGGAGATGAAAAAATTCGGCAATATTTGATTTTAAAGATTGGAGTGGGTTATTTTCATCAAAATTTGGAGTGGCAAAAGAACCGGGCTATTTCCTTAATAGCGTTTAACCATTTAAAAAGAAATGTTGGAGAGTATTTGATGGGATTAAAATTAGGCCCCCCTTAGTGGCAATTTTTCATTCTCAAAAATCATTTTTTGATCGTTATTTCATTATTTTGATCGTTATTTTTTATTTCTTCACTCATAGGTGAATTCGCTTTTCTTTTTAACGATTAAAAAATCGATTCTCATAATCATTATCGAACATATCCTAAATTTTTTTGGATTTGTTCGATAGTGACCATTACAGAGACAAGTGGATCTCGTCTGTGAGTGAAGAAGTAAAAAAACGACGATTGAAATAGTAAAATAACGGTCAAAAAATTGATTTTTTGGGATGAAAAATTGCTATCAAATGAGAGCCTAGTAGATTGTGATAGAAATTTTTGAAATGTATAATTGAAAAATTATGAGACCCATAAAAAATGTGGTTAATATTGATTGTTTGACTTTCATTTAAATTAAAATCAAATTTTAATTCAAACCAAACATGCTCTTAATTATTTAAGGGAAAATTACACCCAATACCCTCTAAAATTAATCAATTTGGAATAATACCATTAAAATAATCAAAACTTCTACTCCCATAATTAATACGCTCAAATTCTCCCACTTCTTCACCTGCACGTCCTAAACCTTCTTCCCCAAATCTACACCGTCGTCTTCTTCAATCATAAAAAGTAGCTGGTTCTCTATAGTTACATTATTTACCAAAACATTTTTCTTCAGATGAAAATCTTTGAAGTCGTCACTTATCCGGTGAGAATCCTTCGCTCCCTGTCTCGATATACATACATTTACGTATGCATATATTTTTTCAATATATTTTTTGGCATCTTTTGGTGTAGATCTTAGATTATTTATTCCAGTAGTGTATGTGTGCATTCGATGGTTTTGATTAGTTGTTGTGATGATCAGAGAAACGCTTGACGATAGATTATAAATATTGATTTGGCAAGTTCATTTTTATAGTATAGATTTTAGGGTGCGCTTTTTACTATTGAATTGAGGTTTTGCTCTTGAAGTTAGGAAAATTGAAACGATCTTTCACAATTTCCAATTCAACTACTTCAGTTCAGTATTCCAACTTTCAAGCATTTTATAATTTATTTATTTTTTATTCATTGGGAAAAATTTGTATTTCTAGGCTTTAAATCCTTACAGTGATTGCTTTATTTATTTATTTTTTTCTTTTCCTGAATGAATGTAGGAAACATAGATTATGTGGGAAAACATTTTCTCTTGACCCATTTGGAAAACAAGATTTGTGATATGTATCATTAGATTTTCATGTGTTTGTTCTTGGACAAGGAAATTGTATACATGTTATTATATGCAATTGATTTTTTCAATGGTGGATTTATAGATGGATTGGCAAGGACCAAAGCTAGCAGAGCACTTGATGCAGCTGCTGCTGTTGCTTTTTGTAGTGCTGGCATTCATCAGGGGATATCTGTTGGTATCATTTTAGACAATGCTGCTTATATATGCAGCCGGTGTTATATTAACTTCTCTTATTATGGTTCCCAATTGGCCATTCTTCAATGTCACACTCTCAATTGGTTAGATTCAAGTGAAGCTGAAAAGTACCCCAAGCCACAACCTGTTAATTTGGGCACGAAGAGGAAAACACTTAAGAAGTAGGTCATTTGATTGACTACTTCTAACTGGGCTTTCTACATTGATTGATGTTAAATATTATTTCTCTTTTTAGGGTATTTGTTACTTTTTGGAGTGTTTGTCACTCTTTTTAAGTTCTATCACTTTACTCAACTGATTCCAAGGTTTCGATTGGTGTTTTGTCACTTTTTTTTTTTATTTTTGTCATTTTTTTTTTGAGTATTAGTGTCTTTTTTAAATGCTCCTCACTTTTTTTTTTTGAGTTTTTATCATTTATTTTTATTATTTTTTAACTTTTTTCTTCCAAATCCAAGTTTTAATATGTTAGTTAATTAATAGAAGTAGAATATAATTACAGAAAGAAACCATACAAAAGAAAATCACTTTTTTAAATTCTTAATTTTTTAAAAAAAAATTTAGTCAATTTTTTGAATTTTTGTCACTTTTTTTTAGTGTTTACCACCTTTGTTTTTTTCGTCTTTTTGAAATTTCTATAACTTTTTAATAAAAGTGACATTGTGTGTAATTTTTTAAATAAAAAGTGATACTAAACTTTTAAAAGTGATATTGCGACACACAATTTTTATAAAAAAGTGACATTGTGTCACTTTTTTATTTTACATTGTATTTTTTACTTTCAAAAAACTTTTCATATGATTTTTCAAAAGTCCCATGATTTTAAGGATATTTGTGTAAGTTGCCCATTATTTAAATTGTAAAGTTATACACCAAAAGCCTTTAATACCTTCATAAGTAGTTTGTGAAAAATGAATTGGGAGGAAAAAAAGGAAAAAACTCACACACTTTCTAACAGTTGGAATCCAATCGAAATTGCTAACCTCAAAGTCCGACCACCACACAACCCAGTTGCTGACAGCAACAAGGTTAATTTTTTTTGGGGATTATGACATTGATTTTACATTTATGATGTTTCAAAAATTTTTAGATTTTATGGTTGCTTATTTGTGGATGTTATGATGTTTATAATATTTATTCTTCGTTATTTAGGTAAATTATTATGTATTGTAGTGACTCAATGTGAAATTTGCTAAAAATAGCCTTCTTTTCACCGAATATGATGGTTATCTGGTGAGAAGGAGTTAGACGATTGTCAACAGTTGTCCGACTATGTTACAGTCAGACCAAACTGTTAACAGATATATATATTTTAAATTGAAAATTAACAAATTAAATATTATTTTTAACCAAATTACCAAATTCTTTTTTTTTCCTTTTTATTTTTCAATTTAAAATTCTTTTTAACCAAATCTTTAATCCTTTCAATAATAATTAAACAATATTTATATCATTTATTTGATTTTTATAATTTCCTTTTGTTTAATTTTTTGTGTATATATTTTTTAAATTTATAAATCAAAAAACTTAAATTCTTTTTTTTTTAAATTAAATAAAGAACTTTAAATTGAAATTACAAAATTAAATATTTTTTAACCAAATTACCAAATTCATTTTCCTTTTTTTTTGGATTTAATTTTTAATTAAATATTCTTTTTAAACAAATCATTAATTCTTTTTTGTAATTCAGAATGAGCATTTTTTTAGACCAAATGGCATAAGATTCCATTTATATTGGCCAAAAGGAATATTGAAAACAGTTTTGTATTTGTCTTCTTCTTTAATTAGAATTTGCCAAAAACTTGATTTTATATCAAATTTTGAGAAGATAACAGTTTTGTATAATCTGTTTAACAGATTTTCTTTTGAGGCAAGAATATTTAATCCATTGAAGAGCTTTATTGAGAGGTTTATAATTGATAACGAGATGTGGAACATCTCGTTCAATTTCAACAGAATTATTGACATAAAAAGTAGAGCAACTTCAAGGAGATTTACTTGAACGAATTAGACCTTTATCGAGCAAATATTTAATTTCCTTGATATAATGATCTAGAAGTTCTTCATTCATTTGAATATGACAAGATTTTTAAGAATATTTGATTCATGAAAATCAAAATTGTAAGGAAGAGGTACCACATGTTTCTTTCTATTCCAAAAAGCATTTGAAATAGTAGAGCAAATTTCTTTTTCAATACACACACACACACACACACACACACACACACCATTTTTTAATCAAAATGCATTATTCAACAGTGATTTCATCCTGTTTCAACTACACATTGTTCAATAAAATAATATTACATGCAAATTTATGACTTTTCTTTATATATTTATGAATTCTTTTTTAAAAAATCTATAATTTTCTTAATTGTTTTCTTCTTGTTATAATTTAATTTTTTAAAATATAGAATGCTTTTTTATATTCATTCTTTAGTTTTTGTATTTTTTAATTATTTTTATGTAATTTTTTTGTGCTTTTCCTTTAATTTATGAAATCATTTTTTTATTAACATTGTTTTAAAAAGAATCTATTTATTGATTATAGTAGTTATAATTCAATTCGCTTAATTTTTGAGATTATGTTTTATTCGATTATCTCTTGTTGGATGTTCTAATATTTGATTTTTTGCAAAATTAAGTACCATATGGATGTTGAATTGAGACTGATGGCGGGAAAAGTTTCTTGGAATAGTAGTTTGAGAGTTTTACTATTATATTGGAGTTGCTTGACAATTAGAATGGAGATTTACTACGACAGTACTTCATGTCGCCCCTGTATTAGTTTAGGGAGGTGCAGTACTTTGGATAGATCATTGGTGCACTACGTCGATGCCCTCCCCTTCGACCTCGGGGGCAAGGTCGTTAGTTTCTTTATACTTAAGTTTGGCCTGATAATTGGACTAAATATTAAGGGTCATGAAGCAGCTCGCGATGGTACTCAAAGAATTGATAGGCTGTACGACACGTATTTTCAGGGATAGGGGATGGTGTTTCTACTGCAGTTGATTGGCACAATTATGGAGTGCTACCAGATGTTGGATAGGTTGAACTTGGGATTAGTCTATATCATTGAGAGCGTGGTAAGGTGCCATCACAAAAGACTACGATCGACCTTTTTCATTTGGAAGTTTTTGACAACATCAATGCCTTCAACAACTATCCGTGGGTCAGAGATGTTTCAAGGACACGGTACACGTCTTCTAAACAAAATAAATGTTTAGTTTTTACTTGTTAACTAAATGTAATTGTATTGTTTACTTAAGTTTTTACTTGTTAACTAAAAAGATAATATTGTCTTTTAGATAAAATACTATTTTGTAATGGTATTGTGTACTTAAGGGTATCTTGGTCTTTTAACATTCAAAAAGCCATTGTGAAAATATGCAATTGTTGAAATCAAAGTGGAAATTAGGGGGTTTGACCAAGCCAAACTTAAAAGTTCCCCCAAGACATGATAAAAAAAACTCATTCAACCCGATACTCACAGGTCCTGCCATTATTTGCGG